TGAACCAAAACAATAGGTAGCTAGGGCGACAGGAACTTGGTGACTTTTATAACAGATATTTTGTGTTGCAACCACATACAACTGCAGGTATGATTTCTTTTTAAATTCTATGTTAAACAAGAGGTAAAAAACACATAGTGTGCCTGCATACCACAAAACCTACTTTTATTTTTATATTTAACTTATACCCTTTTCGATGTATTAAGTTATGTCCCCTGTTTTACTTGCATGGGTTTTTGAGCAAACTTTGATTTTTTGACCAATGCATGAAATGCATTTATTTGATTTTAAAGTTAGGAATGGCCTGTAGGTAAAAAAAGGAGAATGGAACGTGTGGTATGCAGGCACACTATGTGTTTTTTACCTCTTGTTTAACATAGAATTTAAAAAGAAATCATACCGGTTTCATTTGGTTGTTGCTAAGCGCAAAACTACACTATGAGCTATTACTGTTCTGTTCAGCACGGTTATCGAAGTCTGAATTTTATAATAGTAAGACTGCATAGTTACTGCTGACCCTTGGGAGACAAATCAAAGTAAATATATATAAAAAAGGTATCTAATTATAATACAATGTTATGGCATAGAAGAACTTCACATTTAATAGAATAAAATGTCCTCTACATTACATAGAAAATATAAAATAAAAGAAATCGTTAAATGTGATAAAAATCAAGATTATAAAAGAAACCATTCAACATTATAACAAAGGCAAAACATATCAAAAGTAAAAAAAACACTCTAAATTATCACTTAAAATATAAAAAGGGAAATTTTTGTTTGTTTGTTATTAAGCATAAAACTACACAATATGCTATCTGTGATATGCTCATCACGGGTATCGAAACCTGATTTTTAATACCAAGTAATATATAAAACAGTCAAATTACAAACACGAAATGAACCCTTAGACTAGATATATAAAATAAAGACACACAAACGATAAAACTCTATATAAATAGTTTAAAAATTGCTGGACATAACTATTAAAGCCAAAAATGACTATTAGGCACTTATCCTACAATTTATCTTTACATATTTACATTTGTACATAGGTGCACTTGAAAAGTGGTCCACTTATGATATGAATGGCAATGTTTGTTATATATATTCACATACAAACACAGGATAACCATTATGTTATCCTAAAGAAGACAAAGGACAAAGTTTTTATACACTCACCATGCATAGTTCATGAATAATAAAAGTCTGTACAAAGGATTGCACATTTCTAAAATAATAATAATAATAGAAAAAAAGTGACCAAACTGAGGTTTACTCCTTACCTAACCCTGACAAACATTGAAGCCCCATCAACAACTCCTTTAGAGTGGTCAGAGTGACAGTTGACTTCTTATTGGTGGTTTACCATTATATATCCTTGGCCCTCACCGAAGCCTTAATGGTCTGAATCAAGTCAGTTCAAAGTCACCACACTACCTACCCTACCTTAAATAGTGGTTCGTTATGCTTCAAAACTGATTCTCTTCCTGTTATATAATGACCAAGCCTCTGTCCATTAAATGGCTTGGACTTAGCAGTGTCAATTTAAGATGAGTATCTGCTGAAGCATAAGTTACTGGGTAATGGCCATTAGTGAGATGAACAGGAGCTTCAAGTATGCCTTCTGCTGAAGTTGGTCATATAACCACTTGAGTGAACTGACTGTCATGGAGGTCCAGGGCTCAAAATTGACAGTCTTTGCTGAAACTCTTGCCTTTGAAGGCCATGTGGCCATTGCTGAGTCTTCCCATGGTGGTGGTTGGCCTTCCTAGTATTGTGAAAGTTTCAAGCCAGATTTCAACTCCATGTAGTGGTCCTCTCCATAAGTCCCTACACATTTGATTTTGGTGATGGTACATTCTTCAACAATGATTTTTTGGCATGATCCTGAGGTTTTTTGACCAATACTTGATCAGCACTGGTGTTGGCTCAAAGACTAAAATGATCATCACGGGTTGAGCCATGGGCAAACTCGGTTAAACTGGCTGGTTAGACATGGGTGGAGGATACTCAAAAATTCCAGATCCACCTTTTGAAAGCATGAATATTGAGGGCAGACAGGAAGTACATTGTGGTGGCTCGGGAAACCTCAGGGAAAGCATGTTAATGATCTTGGCCAGATCCCACACGTGAGTTGCATTAACCAGTAATGCATCTTCATCCAAAGACTCTTCCAAGTTGAAGGTGAAGCTGGTCTCTGAGGTCGTGGGGACATTAGGGTAAGTCTCCATTTTGCTAAGGTCTCCAAAAAGGAAGCTCTCCAAGAACTTTTATACTTCTATGGCAGCAGGCTAAGGTATAAATGATCAGCATCAAAGTTTTGTAGTGTATTTGACAATGAAATATTCAACAAAACGTTAAGACTTAATTCCTAGACTGAATTTTAAGTTTCTTTTAATCCTTGTTTTTAGCAGCTCATAAATGGCGCCAAATTATTTGTTACTAGTTCAACACCTTTTCGTATCACGCTTGGCCTAGTATCTCTATATAAACGTATTAATTATATAATTTAAGATTATACAATAACGCCCTACCTTTCTGAAATCTGGCATTGCATTTGTATAGTAAATTGCACTTTTTTTGACAACTAGAATACTTCATGCATTTCGAAACTAAGTCATATTTTGTGCAACAAGTTTGACATCATTGCAATATAAAAACAGCAATAATTAAAAAGGAATTTATTATGGTGTTAGAAATCCGTTGAAACAAACATGTTAAAGTGTAAAACTTGCTAGAGAATTGAAGAAATCATCTTAATAAGAACGCTGAATTTGTCAAACACCATGATTCTACTCCTTCAAAAAGGAAACTCTCCATGAACTTTTCTCCTTCTATGGGAATGGATGATCAGCAACAAAATTTTTTGCTAGTTAACTGAATAAAGTAGCCACAAAGGTTAAGAACTTGATCTTAAACAGAAAAGGTCAAGATTGAAAATGAAAGATAAAAGAATTATACTTGTTTGGAGGTTCAATTAGAATTAAGGTTTAAAGTTTTAATGACCTGGATGTGACATTTCTCTGGCTAAAGTTACATTTAGTGACAGATTATTATGAACATTGATCTATAAAATCGTAAAATTAATTTTGTGTTCAAGCGAGATTTTTATAGGCTTTTATGCATACTTGCATATATATTATTTGTCATTTACACATTTAGATGTCCTGGATCCTAGGTTTCTTTTAGGTTTTTCATCCTTGACTAACACAAAGTTGAGCTTCCCAGTATCACCATTTCCATGAATAGATCTAAAATAGCTACTCTGTAACCCAATGGCATTATCTTCACCATTACCTAGTTGCAGTGGTGAGATTCAAATATTTTAAACAACAGGTTCTCTCACTAGCAGCATGCCATATTGACCCGATAGAGACC